ATAGAGATGGCAAGTAACTGAGACAAGGTATACTGCTGTGCTAGATGTTGACAAGTTGTAGGGCATGTCTTAGAAGTATATGGCATTTTATAGCTGCATTATGGTGTTCTTATGACTAATATATAGCAGTTGCCTATGGGATGATGCATTTTCCTGCCATTTAGGGAGAAGAAGCAATTACTTCATTAGAGAGCACTGACTATTTGATTATGTCAAATAGTCACAATTACAAATAGTCACAATATCACAATTACAGTGATAATAGATCGCTTGCCTTCTTTTTATGGTGTCTGAGATATAGTGCCATCTATTTGTGACTTCCAGTTATCAGTGAAGATACAGGGAGCTAATATGGAAATACAGGCTTCCTAAAAGCCTAATAAAAGTATGGGTAACTTACAGCACAAAAGATTAACCTTCATACAGTTGTGGCATTTCACATACAATGTTCTTTATGCATTTCCCAGCATTCTTTATTTTCATCATTTCCCCATAAAATTAGGGTTCAGTTTACTATTTTTTTAGACTCCTACTGTGATTTGCTTGGATTTTGTCAAATCCAATTCAGACATCTCATTGGAACACCTTGGATAGTATCTTAGTACAAATGCAAATACATTCTTCAAAATAACTCCTGTGTTTTATTCAGTAAGTGCTGAAGAGTACAAAAATAGGAACATGGCGGGCTGGATTTAAGGTTGTTTGGGTGGCTTATTTACCTTGCAATTTCTTGGTTTCAAAACTCCATACCAAATACAGATTTTTCTTCTGTTTCAGTTTTTTATATCTCAAAAATTTCCTGCAAAGTGGTGGATAGATGCTTACTTGCATAATTCCACCTTTTGTCTATTGTCCTTTTGCGTGTAGAAGTATAAATTTATAGTGAGTTTTTCTATAGTCTGAAAATATTAAATCAATGCTTTTTGAAAGCACTGCTTTCATGAAAATTCTTTACCAAGATTTGTGATGTAGTAATGCATATACATATTTATTTAATGAATTGCTGCTCTGAGTTAAAGGCTTAATTAGTTTAGCTCTCCCATCAATTGTCTACAATTTGTATTTAATAGTGTGTTAATAACTGGTGTTTAATAATGTATTGCTAGCTGCAAGATAGGAAAATTGGAGCACTTTGCTAACCTTACTGAAATAAATGTAACTATATTACAGGAGGCCTTACAGGAAAGCTGGGGAGGAGCTTTTCACCAGAGAGGGTGAGGAGAGTGATAGGACAAGGGGTAATGGTTTTCAACTAAAACAGGGAAGATTTAGGTTAGACATTAGGAGGAAATTATTCACCAAGAGGATAGTAAGGTGCTGGAATAGGTTACCCAGGGAGGCTGTGGAAGCCCCCTCCCTGGAGGTGTTTAAGGTCAGGCTAGACTGAGAATTTGAGCAACCTGGTTTAGTGTGAGGTGTCCGTGCTCATAGTAGGAGCGTTGGAACCTGATAATCTTTAAGGTCCCTTCCAGCCTTAACCATTCTATGATTCTATATGGCTTCTAGTATTATTCTGATTATATTGACAGTGCTGTTTTGATTCTGCAGTGGCAGCGTTTTATACCATGTATATATGTATAGTGGCAGTTGGTAATCTGGCTGCAAAGCATGAAGTAAAAAAGGCTCTACTCAGCAGTGGTACTTACTGTAGACATATTCAGAGCTACAGGGATTAAAAGATTTTGCCCTAAAGGTGGGGTCAGTTTTCACTGATGTGAGGGCTGTGTAGACACCCTAATCTTGCAGTGTGCCAGTCACTGAGCAAAGCTTGGAGTTGTCTGTTAAAGGTGTATTTACCAGACTGAACTTTCTGCTTTTTATTGTTCACTCCGAGCTAAGGAAGTGTTTGTTTTGTGTAGTTCCGGTCTAACTTCCAACATAGTAACATTTCTCATACAAAAGCCATGTCGTTGTGCCAGAATTGTGTTGACTCTTTTAAAGATCAAGATTCCATCTAATATTTTTCTAAACTGGCTTGCTTATTTTTCTGTGTTCTGTTACTTCATTTTGGAGTTTTAACAAACTTGTTCTTGGCAGGAAAAGATGAAATGAAGCCAGATATACTTCAAAAACTTCTTGATGTCACAAATAATGAATGAATAGTGTATTTCACTTAAAACAAAAAGCTCACTCTAGCACATGGCCTCCTCCCATGTTTGTTTATATTTGTGTCACCTATTTCATAATGGAATTTACAGGAAATAGTCACCTCAGGTGAAACCTACCTATACTGTCGTGGCAACCATTAGATGTACATGTTCCATCACAGATTCATTAATATGTTAGGCATCCTTTGTATTAGATGGTGTATGCAAATTAATCAAAATTCCTTTAAACACCAGCAAATTCCATCCCTCTGTGAATTTCCATTTCTGTAGTAAATGCTAGTCTGTACAGGAACATCATTATTTTTAATTACCCTGAAGTGTTATTCTTCAAATTAATGAAGCAAGGGGGATGTGTAGATTAGCAATTTGGGAAATGTAGAGTTAAAACATTACACTAAGGAAGCAAAGGTTTGCCATCTAATGATTTCTGCATTTTAAAAATATTTTCAGAAATTGTTTAAAATGTTAGTTTCTGCATTCTTCTTTTTCCCTAAATAATGAACCCAGGACAGTCTTTGCAAAATCTTTTTCAGAGATTCTGTGAGTTGTGACAGAGACAAGATGTAAGTATACTGTTTTCCTCAGTGTGTTCAAAAGGTTCTGCAGTTTCATTAAGGCTTAACCTTTGTATTTTGATTTAGAGCTTAAATATCAGAGTAAACCTGAAATATATACAAATTGTAAGATGCAGTTATTTGAGGCAAAAGTACATTTGCATAAAGTAACACAAAAATAATTATATCAATTTCAGAGGTTTATGTACATATTTAGATATGGTTTAAAGGTACATTATGAAATTGCATGCAGGCTGTTTCCCTTACTGAAGACATGCACTCTTCTGTATGGATTTTTCAGAGACATCTGAAGGCTGCTTGGCTCTTTTCACAGCTATATCACATTAGAGACTCACATGTGTTCTAGCTTTGAAGAAAAACAATGTATTTTGTTCAGAGAATCCTGTTTTTCCTGGTAAAAATTATTGCCACTGATTAAAAAATGTGACAAAATGTGTGTCAGATTCCATTCCAGTACTCTGTTTCTCAAAATCATTCAAATTTGGTATTAATTATACCTCTTATCAGTAAATTATAGTAATACGCTTCTGGTTTTTCTATTAAGTTATGTTATGATAGTATTTAATTAAACATAATTTTTTTTAATCCCTGTGCTTTGTGCTATGAATGAAGTGGGTTTTTATTATTTAGAAAGCAACAATAGATACAAGTGTTGAAATGATCCTAATCTTACACTGTGATAACTAGATAGTACCAAATAATTGACTTTCGTTGTTGTAACATCATTCTGGAATTCCTTTGTTGTGTACATACTGTGTCTTATAGTCCATGGTCCTGATGATGACAGGAAGGAATTTGTCTGTTACCTGCTTTTTTGTTTTTGTTTTGTCCTTCTTTAGATTAACAGAGTTAAAGCTCTTGAGAACAAGGATAGTAATAAAAAATAAACAAAAGTGTTTTACTGTCATAATAATGTCTGTTTTAGAAGTGTAGTCAATCTAGTTGCTGTTCTACTTTTTTCAGGTACTAGAATTTTTCAAGGGTAAGTTGACTGTTGTGGCATCAGTCCCTTTTCTTTGATGTGAAGGTCAATGAGAACAGGCATGAACGTGGCATTTAGGTGGTGGGCTGCAGTTTTAAGGGGTTGAGAAGAAGTAAAGTTTTTGTGTTCACTGTTTTTGACCTGTGTATCACTAGAAAAGAACTGAATGGAGGATAAAAGGTCGCTCTCTATGTATTGTCCAGTGCCATGTGGGTTGTCTTCAGCCTAGGCCTAAAGTTCAGTTCACTCTTCTGGATCTTGCTGCTTCTTCCCCTTTAAAGGAGGAAACAAGAACAGTACATATGTGGTGATATCACTGCAGAAAAAGGTGGTTTCAAAAGAGGAAAGATTTTCTTTGAAGTTGAATTGTAAAAATGAAGATCCCCTTCATGATTCTAAAATACGCATGGCAGTCCTCTTTAATGTCTGATAGTAAATATAGGTGGGAAAGCCACAGGAGAGGAGACTAGTGGTAATTTTTTTGGAATGCCATGTTAGTAAGCAAGTGTTCTCATGACAAACAGTAAACAATAGCACTAAAAAAGGAACACTGAAGGGCTTTCTTCCCCTTTGAAACAATAATAACATTCACTCAAATAGGGAATTATTTAGTTTGGTGGCAGAAATGAAGGAAAGGAGAAGCTCAGGTAATGCTGTATCTAACTAGCATCAAAACCTCTTAAGAGAAGGCAGAGCAGTTCAAGCAGGACTTGTATGGTAACTTAGAAGTGAATAAATTTGGTTGAGGTGCTTAATTCGACCATACTGCCATTTTGGTCAGCGGGGCTGCTCTCAGTTCCTGTAGTTGTTTTAGGCCATTGCTGTTGTGGAATACTGAAAACCAGCTTAGTGAAATCTGACAGGGGGAATAGAGTGTACTGAATTTCAGCTCACAATGCAGGAGAGAGAAACAAAAATAAAAATTATAAAACCTTCTTATTGGCAATGGCTTTGAACTCAAGCTGTGCCTTTGCTTTGTACACAGCAAACTGACATGTCTTAAACTGCAAAGGAAGTTAAAAAGATCTTTTTGCTTCTGCCTTCTTGTTCACAAAATCAACGCTTTATGAACCTAAAGAGAGGAGGTCAGATCATCAGCACTCTGGAAATGTATCTGCTGTACTCTAGTAGTTTGAGGAAGTAAGCTTCTAAATAAGCTTTGAAGGATCAGGTAGGAGGCTTAAAATAGCAGCAGTGAAGAAGTAAGATTATGAAGCTCCGTTTTTTTCTTTGTATCTTTCCCATCAGACATTTGACTTTTTGACTAGGTATATTCCTGTTCCTTCCACTTTAAGCAGATGACTGTTGTTCAGGCCAGGTAACCTGTCTGGTGCTATGGGTAGGTGGCATTTGTGCTGTTTCTGATGATAAGAGATGTTTGCTCTGATGCAATCCTCTTGCTTTGAACTCAGGTGATTCAGTTGAATGCTAGTATGCATTGTTATTTTATGACTCGGGCTCACATCATACTGTGGCAATTAAGGAACAAAGCTCAGTAACATTCCTTCCTACTGATTTTCCCCTGTGTCTTTGTGCTTAAAATCAGAAACACACAATGAATAGCTGATAAAATATCAACAGTTTTTATTCTGTTAGTACAAGAGCTCACTTGGGGCATTGCAATCCATCCCTGTTTTCTTGTATGTACTTATACTATATATAAAATCCATTCCTGTAGGTCTACCCCATTTTTACAGGTAACATTCTTATATAATTGAGATCTAGGAAACACAGGTCACTTTGAAGAGTTACACAACTTTTTATTTAAATTTATTTAATTAAAGATATAATCCTTGTTGTTAGCATTCTCTAAATACTATAATTATTTGCAGATAACAAGCTGTGTATTGGCTAGATCTTTGCATATATTATATGAGCTTTGGAATCTATACTTGGTTCTGTTTGCAAGTATTTCCTCAGCATATTGAGTCCTGCAAACAATTACTTTTTATTAGACCGTATAAATTTTAATTGAATGTTTGCGCTTTTATACACAGTCTGTTCCATTTCAAGATTGTGAAGTTTAGTACTAGTTTCATTTTGCATAATAAAACTATTGGCTTAACTTGCTGTCTCACTGTAGGATTGCATTTATTAATTTATATTAATAAAGAAGCATGGCTGTTCAAAGGATATATATCTAATGGCTCAAAGAAATGCACATTCTCTTTTTCTCTTTTCAGATTTATCAAAGAATAGATTAACTGAGGTTCCTACGGAGTTGTGCCATTTTGTGTCACTGGAAACACTAAATCTATACCACAATTGTATTAAAATTATACCAGATGCCATAATAAACTTGCAAATGCTAACTTACTTAAATTTGAGGTAAGTTTAAGTGTGCCACTTTTATTTTTTTTTTTTTTTTTTATTTACCAGTGTGTTTATGCTTTATGTGTTCTGGAAAAACTGACTACATTTTTCATTTTATTGGAAGTTGTAATACAAAAATTCATTGGCTGTAGATAAAGCTCTGTATGAAGATATTTTAAAGGCATTTTAAAGGCCAAAATGTAAAACTAATCATTTAAAAGAACACCAAGTGTTATTAATCCCTTTCCTTTATTCTTCTAGCAATTTCAGAATGCTAATCACATCAGCACATCTGGATTCTTTTAATTCACTTCTGATGACATATTTCATGACACTTGACATAGTTTTTGTAGTTAAAAGGCTGAAGGGAAAGGGATAGAGGATTAATTCTTTTAATGGGGAATGGAAAGGAAAAGCATGATACTTTATCACTAATATCCTCATAAGAAGTACAGTTGCTGCCCTGGAAGGGGCAAAAAATTAGGCACCTTTGTCTCTTCCATTAATAGTGTGTGTGAATAATAATTGGTACAGAGAATTACTACTGGTTAAAGTTCAGGTGAATACATGCTTTTGAGAGAGGGAATGTCAGCACTTTTTCAGCTGGGGCAAGATGTGGAGGTTTCTTTGCAGATGAGTATGTAAAAACTGAAATAGTGATGATACAATTACCTGTTCTTTGTGAGAATTAAGTTTTGGCAAGGGGCAAAATGGTTGTTGGGCTTTTAAATTCAATATATGAAGGTTTGATTATCAGTTTTCTAAACACTGAGGATGTTTATCAAGCCTTCCTGTATTGTTATTTGACTGTAGTTTTGGCCACTGTGTAATGCTAATTTTGGCTCTAAAAATTGAAACAAGATGTGTCCTGAGTATTTGCACACATTTAAGGAGCAGGGCTTGAAATTTTGAAATAAAGTTTGTTAAAGATACCTAAAGAAATTAAGACTGGATTAAATAATTACATAAAACATCTTAATATATTTAGGAATTAGAATAAACTCAATTAGAACTCAGTGTAATGATGGAATTTGTATGAATCATGACAAACCCAGAATAGTTACAGAGTTAACATCATGTATCACATAAATTAGGCAATCAAAACCAAAATAAGTTTTACTAAATAAGGTCATTTCCTTCAGTTTAAAATTCACTCTTCTCTTGGACGTGCCCTCCCCCGTGTTAGCTGAACACAGTAAGCAGTCTGTACAAGAAGGAAAGATGTCCTTGACTTGCTAAGTATGTTGCTTCTTGGCAAGAAAAATATTATAGATGTAAAATTAGTATTTTTTTTCCTGTTACCAGCAGAGCTCATATGCTAAATAGAATTAGAAACTGCTGCCAAGAGATACATACAGCCTTTGGGCATTGGTGGATACTGTTAAAAGGAAGTTCTTTACATAAAACATTAAACTAATGATGATTTATTACTCACTTGCCCTCCTTATGTGCTGTTCTTTATCCCTTAGTGGATTGCTTCTGAGTTCTATCAAACTTAAAAAAATATTTTTACTGAATTCTTTGGGGTTTTTTGGTGTCTGATCTGCTGTGTAGTTTAACCTTTTTAGATTTTAGGCTTCCTCAATTTGAGTTGTTTAGAACTTTAAAAAAAAAATCTATTTATTATTTAGAATAGTTTGTGTTTTGGTCTTCTGTAAAGACGTAAGAATTGAGAATCCTGACCATAATAAGCATTGATTATTTTTTTTCCATATACTGCTAGTTAGTAGTTAGGTGTCTCATTTTTAATATTCTTGGATTTGTTATTTGATACCAGTCTACCTCCCAGCCTGTATAACAGAGATATAATGATACTTTGCTTTGTAAAAACACTTTGAGACTGTTACATGTGGAGCGTGAATATACATCTTCATAGGCAGTTTTGTAGCAGACTACTGGATGCAGGTATAGAGGAAATGTTTTCAGATCTGTGGAATTTTGATTTTTATTTCCTTATATTTCAATTCAGTGTTGCAACTCCTACTGGAATTACACAGGACAGTTCTTGCCATCTGTTTTTAGACTTCAGTTATGCATATTTGTTCTCTGGAGCTTTAACAGTCATACAGAAGCTAAACTAAAGTGTTGATACTGGGGTGCCACTTTTAACTTACTATTCATTGTTTTCCTACAGGTTAATACCCACAAAAAAGAAAGTTATATTTTAAGAAAACCTTCACATATTCTAGGAAACGGAGTTAATATATTATTCTGTTTTGCTTCTTCTGGGAATTGATCCACAGATCACAATAATTTAATATTTTTCATCACCTGGAAATCACAAAGGATCGTGACATTTCTCATATTGAAGTTTTGACTTCCTGAGTAACTGTTTCTAGAATTGCAACCTTTTTTAAAGTTTTCTACTAACTTTTGTCTTCTTTCAACTCCTCTTTATGCAGCTACTCTTCATTTATACTCTTCTGCTCATATATCTTTTTTTCTCCCCCTATACATATGGTATGAAGTCACTTAAAATGTTTTTATCAATTTTAGGAAAAAGAGATTCAGAGATAAAGTGTCTCAAGAAATGCAAAGAAATGACCCATTGATGGTCACATTATTTTTCCCTGTATTTACTTGGCTTAGTATCAGAATCACAGAGCAACAAGTACTAAGGAGTCTTCAACTAAAAGCACCCTTTAAACTAATTGAGAAGATAACCATTGTGTCTATTTATTTTTCAGTTATAACAAAAGAAATCTACTATACTGCCACATGAATCCATAAGAATGTTTAAATACTTGCAAAATACTGTTTCATTTGATTTTCTTGTTTTCATTAGGAAGGGTAGCAGCTGTTCTAGGTGACAACCAGACTTCTTACAATATTATTAAACTGATGTAATGCATTTTTTCCAGAGTGGTAGTAATTCACAGTACTATTTAGTCAGTAATGTAGATATTTTTGATGTGCAAGTGTTTTCTTAATGATTGCCATTCTAAAATCTAAATTTTTTCTGCATAAAATCTGACTAATCAAAATGAAGGTATTTTACAACTCTCAGATTTGATGTCAGTGTACACTAGAACATCACTGGTGTTTTTAATGGCTGTTTTGTTTTTGTTTGTTTTGTTGCAGTCGAAATCAGCTTTCTTCTTTGCCAGCTTGCCTGTGTGGTCTCCCTCTAAAAGTCTTAATTGCAAGTAACAATAAGCTAGGTTCCCTTCCAGAAGAGATAGGTCAGCTAAAACAGTTAATGGAACTGGTATGTTACTGATCTTTTCTCTCTTTTTTTCTTTTGACTTCGTATTTAACTAGAAACATTAAAATTCACTTTGCAAATATATTTGAACAAATGCCTAATGCTATAATGCAGGTTATAAAACTACCTTTTGAACTTCTTAAGTGTGTTGGGAAGTAAGATTATAATACTTTTCTTTATATTCTCCGGGACCCTTCTGAACAACATAACTGCCCTTAGATCATTCAGAACTCAGCGTTATCATCTTTACCAGATTTACTCACTGTCTGCCCTGGCTCCCCGTTTTGCTCTATCAAGTTTATAGTTCTGGCATCAGACTCTGTAAAGCTGTATCCCCCACTGCAGAACCCTCCCCTTCTGCCTCCTTTCTCTCTGTTATTACTATCTGCTCACCACATTGCATTCCACCAGTAATACTGGTGGTCTCAGTCTATTTTGATTTTACTTCACTGTTTTTGTCATACAACCTTCCTTTTCTGGAACACCCATCTGAACAGATGTACAAAATAATTATATTCCCCTTGTTTTCAAGGCTGTCCACTTGGCTGTTGTTTCTGCAAGCAACAGATCATCTATAATATATTACCTAATAAATGAGAATCTGAAAAAGCAAAAATTATTTGGTACCATAACTTATAAAAAGTGTGCAATTTAATGAATTTTAATTTGTATATTGAAAATTTGAAAATGCTTCCCTTTCTTCTCCCTTTGCATTCCTTTTTTTATACTGTAGGCTGAAATTGAACTCTCTGTGGCATATACATTGTGTCATCTGGTTATTTCTGTTCACTTCTTCTTTAAGATATAAATTGAAAAGTAACTACACTTTGACCCTGCTAATTTGTGCCTGGTAAAATAAATGTATTTGGACTTTTTTTCCAAATGCTGATATCTCCATTGACTGCATTTATCTTGCCACATCTTGTGTCCGAAAGTGTCTGCTTATCATATCATTTTTAATACAGTAGCTTCTCTACTAAGTTATGTTACAGAAACTGAGCTGACCTTGCTTTAGGCCCCAGTCCTGGTACTGGTTCTTTGTTTGTGGAGTGAATTGACAACTTTGGAGCTTTTTTCCTTAAAATATTCTGTTTGTACAGCATCCAGTGTATCAGGCTTCTCTTATTTATTACAGTTGATCCACCTTTTGATGAGGATTGGGAGGGGGGTCATTCCCTTTTCCTTTCTTGGTTATCTGAGCTAAAGATTACCAAGTTATAAAATTTTGTTTGGTGAGCATTATTAATTTGTTTTATCAAATAAAGAGTTTTTTGTGTGTACGATGGGTTTAATTAGATTACTGAAGTGGTTTTGATTTAATTAACTGTCAAAAAATGTTAGGCTATAGCATTGTTTCTGTTGTGCTTAAATGGATTAAATGAAATATCATGGTTCCAGTTTTATATATAATTAAAGTTGAACAGTGTTATACATATTCTAATTTAAGGCATAGGATGATAGATAATAAAAATTGGAACCTGTTAGCTCTTGATTGCTTTGGTTTAAATGTTAAATGATTGCTTCTAGCTTTGTGGTGGGAGACTTATGAAATAATTGACTTGGCCTAGTTCAGTCTGGTCAAAATCAATAATTTTTATTAACTGAGTTCTGTGATAATACTTCCAGTAAAGAGCTGCTGAAGTGCTTTCATATCTAATTTCCCCTCCATTGTCAAGTTTGAACCGTGCCAGTAAAGTGAGCTAGCGTTGCTGATTCTGGAAGTGTTTAATTTGACAGTAAGAGTTAGTGCTTAGTTTAACAGTAGCTCTTATCCTTATTTTATAATTTTGAAAAGTTAAAAGCTAAAAGCTTGAAAATCAATGCAGATTATGCTCCAAACAGAGATAGTTTGTTTTGTTGTGTTTTTTTTTAAATAGATCATATGTTTAAATTAACTTCTGAAATACTAGATTTTCATATTGCTTTCCAGTTACAGTATAATTTCTTGTCATGAAGAACACAACAGTTCCTGCTTTAAAAATACTGCAAATTAGGGCAACATATTGCTTTGATAGCCTAGAAGAAGAAGTATGAAAACTGGAAATCTGATGGTAGTTCTTTGTGATTAGAAGGGGCATGGGGGGAAACAAATAAGTTTTTGTTAAATGGGGCATAGTTCTGTTTGAATGACCTGATTACTTATTTTAATGCCACCCTAAGTAGTTGGTACATCTCCAGTGAAATGTGTTGCATTATTGGGCTGGAAACTATCTGTGATGTGGTGGGAGAGCAAATAGTGGTAGCATTGAAAGCCAGTATCTGCACTGGCATGTATAATATGAAGCAGTTTAGATAATAAAGTAATTATTGTTCTAAAGGAAGCACAGAAAGAAAAAAGAAGATTAAGTCATGCTGCAGTTGTTGCATGAAACATTCAGCTGTGTGAGAGCAGTGAACACTGTGTGGCCTTGAAGTGAAACCATGCCTGGCCCTCTGTTGTTTCGGGACATATGCAGTGCTGGTGCTGAGCTGGCTGAGGGATTGGGTCCTGAGAAGTGAGAGATGCCACCTGACTGCATTCAGTTCTTGCATTATTAGGACTTTGCCAAGCACCCTCAGGTTTTCAAAGTGTTTGACATCTTTTCACATGCTGCATTCAGTAAAATCTGTGTAGCAAATGGATTTTTTTGTTCTTGTTCAACTTTTTGAAACAAATTGCCTTCTCTAGTCACTCTTGAAATGATGCGAATGTAATTTGCTACAAATGAGGTCAGATCTTTCCAGCTAACTACTTTCTCCCCTCTCTCCTCTAAAGCTGAGTAGGCAATTCTTCTTCTGTTACATTTATAAAAATCTCATACATGTGGTATAGAACAGCTTAGATATTATATGCAGTAAATTTCAGATCTTCTTTTTTATTTTAAGGTTCTGGTTTGTATAGATCTGATAGCTATCTTACAAGCACCAAAATATCATAGACCTTTTTCTTCCTGCAGAATACATTCAAATTATTTCCAAGGTTTGGCTGGGAAACTTACTTCTAGTTTCAGCTGCTTAACTCGATCATGCCTCTGCTGTCAGCCAGGAGGATGAGTGCAAAACTGTTGTGGAGATAATCTGAACTGTACTTTTCATCAAAGAAAACTAATTGGGCAGAGGCAACTAGTAATTGCACTCAGAACTATCAGATGTGCAGTAAAATTCTCTTCTCCATCCTACCAGGGAGTATTACACTTCTGTTGTCTCCAGGGAATGGTTTTCTCTGTTTCTGGAATGCTCCTATCTCACATTGGAAGCCTGTAAAGCTCTAAGCAGGGATTTAGGTCCCTGACCTCATTCATCTCATCTGGCCCAGCAGCCTGACGAAGTGGGAGCTCTGCCTTCTGTTCCCTACAGGGGTCCATGTGCTCATGCAGTGTAACTTCTTACCATTCAGTGTGGCTTGTATGTCACAAGCTCTGATGGAATCCTCTTGCTTATTACGAATAATGTGCTCAAGTTTTAAAATGTATGTGAAGAGGAAGTTTATCTCAATTTGGATGATTAGGATGAACTCCCATGTGTTGATTAATATGATAATTTGGTGCTAGAGTACCATATTTGTTTTTAATTATTATGCTAAATTTTATTGGTTTAAGGCTGCTTAAACTTTATGATAAAAGGAAAATATTGATGATTTTTGTTTACATGCCATTGAGCTTCATGCCACAGAAATTGATGTTAAACTTAATACACCTTTCATTTCTCTAATCTTGAGAAATCTTGAACACCGCTTCTATGAAGACAGACTAAGATAGTTGGGCTTCTCTTCTCTTGGATAACAGAAGGCTCCAGGGAGACCTGGTGGAGACCGTTTCGGAAGGAATTTACAAGGGCTTGTAAGGATAGGATGAGGAGGAATGGTTTCAAACTGAAAGATGGTAGATTTAGGTTAGACATTAGGAACAATTTATTTCCTGTGAGGGTGGTGAGACACTGGCAGAGTTTGCCCAAAGAAGTGGATGCCCTGACTCTGAAGGTGTTCAAGGCCAGGTTGGATGGGGGTTTGAATAACCTGTTCTAGTGGAAGGTGTCCCTGTCCATGCAGAGTGGATGGAACTAAATGACCTTGAAGGTCCCTTCCAGGTCAAACCATTTTGTGATTCTATGAAATTTTGTCTGTGTTGTCATGGCAGGATGAAATAGAACTAATGTAAGAAGTCAGACCTTCAGCAAACTAATCCCTGGAGCTTGAATAAGTGTTTGCACTTGACTTTAGTTGTCTGAAGATGTCCATGAAGTGAAGTTCCAAACTACTGGTTATCTAGTTCCTTTAAAAAACTATTAGCCTTAAAACTGTAGGCATTTGACCTTGATAGTATTGCTTACATTGCTGCCAAAGTAATGGGGAAGAGAAATACTGTCTTAAGTCACACGTGCTCATGAAGATTAATAATAATAGTCAAGACCATAAGTACCACTAGAAATAATGTTATAGGTCTTTGTTTACACAGCTATTCAAACAAAGTAATAAAAAAAATGAATTGCAGTGTGTAGTAGGATAAAGGATTCTACTGTTTCTAAAGATCTTATGAATGCTGACATACTGTCCCAACAGATCAGTCTTGCTGAGGATGTCTTGAAAGGTTGTAAGTGGACTTTGTTTTTGAGGCTACACACTGCTGGGCTTCTCCCCTCCCCCCCCTCACCTTCCTAGTTGCCACTAGAATTCTCCTTTTCCCTGACTTGTTTGGTGTGTGTGCATAAGTAGACTTGGTCTAGAGTTTCTCTGCCACAAGGTGACTTAAATTTAAATTCTGTGCTCTAAAAATTGAGTATCTAATGATGTAGTTGTTTAAAGTCAGTAAATTAAAAATAGGACAGTCAGGTTTTAAAAATAAATGATCTGGAAACAGTGCAATTAACCATACTTTGTGGCAACTTGAGCAGATAATGTATTCATTAACTGGGATGTTTAATTTCCTCATCTAAAAGCTAAAATAATTTCCTGACTCTGTCTTGGCAAGGGAAGGAAGCTTTGGCATGAGATTCTGTTACGAGAAGAAACTTGTCTGATACAGAGAGCAGCATTGCCAGATCAGATTTTCCTTTTACTATCATTTTGTTAACTAGTTTTTAGACTTAAAGATAGAAAGTTAATGTAGGACTTTTGACCAGTATTAAAGCAACTGTGTTCAAGAAAATTATTGTGTATTTTGTAGTCTTAAGAGCTTCCAGATACTGTATAAATCTGTCTTTTGAAACAATAAAGGGTGTAGGAGCAAACATACTAAAAGTATTCCTTTGGCTATTCAGGAAAATTCCCCACTTAGCTCTCACACAATGAAGTACTGCTTCCTCTTTTTAATGCAGAAATGGAAACATAATTGGGATTTCCTCAAATTTACAGGTTGCTTTGGATGTAAGTAGATGTTTCAAAGTCTTTCTGATTTCACATTGAATATAGACAGTTCAGCAGCAAAAAGGATAGCTAGTATCTGAAAACTGTCATTTTAGACTAACTTAATTGAAGAAGTTGATTTTTAGTACACAGTTATTGCAGTATCAAGTTAGCAATAATGTTAAAGTATAATATTACAAACAGTATAATATATTTATATAATGTATATTATACTAATACTACTGTATATAAACTTGTTGCTTGAAATTATGCTTGGTGTAACCAGACCCTGTAGTTTCAACTCAATTTTACAGAAGTTATTGCTTTAGGAATGCTGAAATGAGGATAGATTCCATTTTTATCCAGATTATTAAACCAGTTGAATGAAGGCATCAAAATCAGAGTTGTTTAGAACCAGCCTAGGTTCTTAAGGAGAACCATTTACAACAATACATTGAATATCTGTATAATACTAAGCAAACCTGTCTTTATTATGTCCTGATGTGATAATTAAACATATGCTTTTCTTGAGCATCCTTACCGACTGCTATTTCTGCTTTTCCTTTCTTTTTTCTTTTCTTTCATATTTTTTTTTTCTTTATTCATATAAAAATTCCCACTAGAAGAACAGGAAGCTTTTGAAAAAAGTAGCAGTTTTACTCTTTATCCATACATATTTGGTTCTATAATCATGGTACTGAGTTCTTCACATGAACAAAAAGTTAAGAACAAAGAAATAGAACACCTTAAGTAAATGGTTTTTAATGTTTCTACTGAATTTAAATTAACTTTCCAAATTAACTTGTTCTCCAAATAAGCATTCACTCTGGCTTGGAAGTAACATGTAAACATTTTCTCATGTATCTGGTTTTGCACTGTAAAGACAGAATGTAGATTGTTTTGTATTTTCAGGTTAATAAAAAGTGACAACAGTAATAGCAAACTAGCTAGAATTTCACAGCTGAATTATTTAATATTAAGGAGAGTGACATTCATGGTTTTTGTTGCCTTTGCTGTAGGATGTCAGCTGTAATGAAATCACAGCCTTGCCACAGCAGATAGGTCAGCTAAAATCCTTAAAAGAACTAAACGTCAGAAGAAATTACCTCGAAGTTTTACCCCAAGGTAAGGAAAGGAAAAAAAAAAGTTTAAAAGTTCCTAATACTTCTATGGTAGTTCTTTTTATTAGCCTTTTGGAAGACTTTTTTTAATCATGTAAGTAAATATGATTAAAAAGTAGTGATTACCTTTTCTCTGAATTTAGTGGATTTGATCTCGCAGGATATCACATTCAGTGGTACTTATTAAGTAGTTGTGTGAGTTTTTTTAAAGGAATTATCTTTATGATTCTGAAGTTGCACACTTTCCTGTGAATGCAGTATGGGAACTGTCAGCGGAGTTTCAGGGAAAAAAATTCCAAGTATTTATTTTAAACTTTATTGTCACTTGTATAACAATAAAACTCTCTTAATTCCCCAATATAGAATGTAGTAAATGTTGATTGTATTTCCTGCCTGAGTTTGTATTTTTTCCTAAATGCAAAAAGTTTCTTTAGAAATACTATTTTATGGCAAAAATAAATACAGATATAACATCTTTTTTTTTTTTTTTTTTTTTTTTTTTTTTTTTTTTACTTTTAGAGCTAGTTCAGCTTCCCTTGGTAAAGTTCGACTTCTCCTGCAATAAAGTAGTTGTAATTCCAATTTGTTTTATAAAGATGGTGCACTTACAAGTATTACTGCTTGAGAACAATCCTTTGCAGTCTCCACCTGCACAAGTAAGTAACTTTTATCATTTAAATTGTGTATTGGGTGTACGATAACAAATTATGACTTAAAATGTTGTCTTCTGCAACTGAAACCTTCTGAACTTCAATCAAGACAGACATTAGTTGTTGATGTATAAATTAGACATAGCAAATATGTTATGTTCTGTGTGTGAGCCTGTGCACCACTTGAACCAACGTGAGTCTGGATTTCTACTCTGTTAGCTACCTGTTTATTTTTGTCATTCCTATCTGCATATGCAACTTAATGTTGGAATATGTATAAAATTTTGAAAGAGATAATTGAGAATCTTCCTGGATATTCTTTCTGTTCATAAGAACCCAGTTCTAGAAGGTTCTACAGTGATTTACTATTGATTAAAAAAATAAACTGTCTAGAATATAATCCCCATTAAATTTATTTTGCTTTATAGTGTAAGTTTATAGACTGTGATACACAAAGAAATCAAACTCCTGTTCTGAAGTGTAGACCATGCTGAGAAATGATGATAAATAGATGAATGGAACTTGTGCTTCCTGCTTAAGGACAACTTGTTGTTGTTGACTCACTGGACAATAGGTTCATAGAATCATAGAATCATAGAATCCTAGGGGTTGGAAGGGACCTCAAAAGATCATCTAGTCCAACCCCCCTTGCCAGAGCAGGGTCACCTAGAGTACATCACATAGGAATGCATCCAGGTTTGTTTTGAAGGTCTCCAGTGAAGGAGACTCCACAACCTCCCTGGGCAGCCTGTTCCAGTGCTCTGTCACTCTCACAGTAACAATTTTTTTTCAGATATTCAAATATCTGAATAAGCTACTTTGAAAGCTACAACTCTTCTAGATCAAAAACTGTTGAAATACTTGAGAGTTTTTATTACATTGGAGAAATGCTTTTCATAACCAGTGGTGATGCTAAAAAAATACTGAGCAAGTTTCAACAAGCACTTGAGCTAGAAGTGTAGAAAAAAAATTATAACATGCAGGTGAAATGCATAATAAAGATGGTTGGACACTAGTAAAAACAAGGTGACTAAGTATATAAAGGACATGATGATTTGTTGAAAGTCATTATTGACTAATTTTGGAAAAAAAAATGGAAAAATTTACAGGTAGCCATATTCTTCACCATGAGGATAGTAAGGCACTGGAATAGGTTGCCCAGGGAGGTTGTGAGAGCCCCCTCCCTCCCTCGTGGTGTTTAAGGCCAGGCTGGATGAGGATTTGTGCAGCCTGGTCGAGTGTGAAGTGTCCCTGCTCATGGCAGGGGGTTGGGACCTGATGATCTTCAAGGTCCCTTGCAACCTTAACCGTTCTGTGGTTCTATGATATATTTTATTGTAATTCTTTTTGAGTGAAAAACTATTTTCTTGATTCCTGTCTTACTTTCAGAAGGTATTTATACTAGTACACACAAATAGTTAATGGGTAATTAAAGTAGTTCTTTTTGAAAAAAATAAAATAAAATCAGTTTTCTTTTACGTGTTAATGTTTTGTGACAATATGAGGTGGTTTTCAGTGAGTTTTATGCTAAATGACATTTGGAATACGTTATTTCTTTCATTCTGGGTATAAGCCTAACCTTTTTTTTCCTGTCTAACAGATTTGTACAAAGGGTAAAGTGCATATATTCAAATATCTGAATGTACAGGCCTGTCAGATTAAAACAGCAGACTCACTGTATCTTAATGCCATAGAACAACAGCATTTGTCACAACCCGTGGAAGAGAGGTATGTATGAAAATCTTGCTTAGTTTTGTCACGTAACACGCTTAGGAACAAAGTGAAAGAAATACATTTGCATCTCTAGCTTCTGGAGTTTCATTTGTTTAGATGATCTCTAGAGTGCACTTTTGAAAAGTTTTGTTTTGCTGTAGTGTATTTTATTCTAGTAAAATCTGTATAAGTTTAGAACAAATTTTAACAATTGGTTCTGGTTAAAGTTAGCAGCACAGTAGGAAAAAGCTTGTCAGTGAACCTGAAACTTACTTTCAATGTAACCTCTTACTAGTAGACTACTGGAATATATTGAAAATAATAGAGATGATAGTATAATGAAATGTAAGAAATTTCTTCTAAGTCTACTAACCCATTAAAAAGGTTGTAATTTCCTGGGTTTTTTTCTGATTTTTATGTTGTCATAAGCTTTTTTTATTTGGCAAAGAGAACTGCATGAATGTTGAGATCCTTCTAAAGTGAAATGTGCTAGTTTGTTGAAAGACTTACATCAAATATATAGGAATTGTCATCTTGTGTGGTGGTTTAAGGACAGGCACTAGATACAAAGCAGCTCCTTTTCACGAGAATCTTCTTAGCTAATCAGAAACCAGCTCTTTTCTTGCTAACACAGGGGAAGTGTAATATAGGAAGTCAGAGAAAGTACAATAATGCCTTCTCTTTGGAGAGAGGAACTGAAATAAAACAAAGTGTTGATATTAATTAAAAAAGAGATGTTGGCTGCTAACATGCTGGAAATAAAATAATTGTTATGGAATCTGTCAGTTATCTAGATGAGGTTTCAAGCAAATTATTTTCCTCCATATATGTTTGGGAGACACCTTTGTGGATTTCTATCCGATAAATACCAAAGGTGAGAAGAATCCAGGATGAGGAGTTATGTTTTCCATTTGGGAATCACATACTGGGTTTTTGTTTTTTTCTCTTGGGATTCAAAAAAATTTACAGGAATGTCATGTCCTGTTTGACATTTTGGCCATACAGGATCATACAGGTTAGGGTAAGGGTCATGAACAGCCCAATGCTATATCACATAATAATTAACAATTTTTTCTTTTCAAGAAGAAATTCCCACTTCTAAAGAAAAAGCATAACTTGGTTAGGATTTCCATGTGCAGTTTCTATACAAAATTGTTAGTGTTTACTGATAAGAGATAATTTGAGATTAGGATTAATCAGATATTTTATTCATGTGAAGACTGATAAAGTTCTTTTTTTAAATTGCTGTGATAATTTGAATACAGGATTACAGCTTTTAAGATTGCAAATGTGAGGACAAAGTATATTGAAAAAAGAAATGAAGTGATGAGTGTTTTGCATCTAATAGTGTACTTTAAAATTAGTAGAGGTCATACTAGGTAATGAAACCAGAAGAGAGAGCAGTTGCCGTTAGCATAGTGGCTTAAAAAGTTAAATTTCAGAGTCTATTTTAAAGCACCAGAAGAAGGTTTCTGTGTTAATAACTACTTCAAGCCGCAGGGAAATATCAGTTCATTTTAATGCATCGATGGTTACAATTAAATCAGTTGACAGCACTTTGAGTTCAACTAGTTTAGTTGCTTTTTCCCATGGCTAAATGACTTCAGACTCCTGTGCTACTTAGCTAGTAACTGAGTGTACAAACAAAAGCAAGTTTTAAGGCATATTATTTCTCTTGTTTTTGTTAATCATTAGGCTAACCAGCTGTTCCATCTGATCTGTTTTACTAACACCAAGCTGCTAATGTTTAGGTTTTAACCATACTAGGCTATTTTGCCTGCTACTGTTCAGACTAGTTGGAATTTTGGTTTGATTTAAGTCAGAATAATAATTATAGCTTTTAATTGTGTTATTATTCATCATATCTAGCATTGATGACATCTACCCAAGTAAAAAGGACTCAGATTCAGGTGTTGGTAGTGATAACGGTGATAAACGTTTGTCAGCAACAGAGGTAAGTTGCCTGAATTTTGTGTCCAGCTCCCCTTCCCTCTGACCAATATTTGAAGTTGGGTAACAATGTGAATATGTTTTTAGCCATCAAAACTGTGCAACCACATCCTTGCAATGAATTTCTTGCTAAGAAATGGCTAAAACAAAAATAAAATGAGACTGGTGGCAGGGTTTACTCTTTTTGTTGTTGATTTTTTTTTTGTCTGTGCACTTTCTGGTGAGGGCAATGAGATACATGCTTACAAACGGTTAACAACCTGTCAACAGTGAAAATTCACTACAGTTTTCAGGCAGTTTACATAATCTAGAGAATGAAGACCTAACCAGAATCCAGGTCTGTTCTTTTAATTGAAGCAAATGTCCTAACAGATTACATGCCTGGCAGCTTCTCACTATTTTTCTCTCTGACTGATGACTCTTTCCAGCTGGGAATTAACAGGAGTTCCATGTGCCCAGGTCCAGTGCATTCTGTGGTGTCATGATTATGGCAGTTCACTGTAGTGCAGGAACTTCAGAAACTTTGCAGATCTTAATGCATTTCCATGCTGTGGCAGTTAGGCACTGCTGGAAATAAGCCTTCAGGATTTTTTCTGGACTGTCATCTGAATGAGCAAAGAGAAAGGATGGCTTTCTGAGACTGGTGTTGTCCTAAGCAGTTACAGCTGACTTCCCTAGACTGTTTTTCTGAAGGCATTGCTCAGCTGAAGAGATCACAAAATCTGGTTGGAGTTGAACTGAGTAAATACTGATCAATAATAAATAATTTGCAATATACTTCAGTGATGATCTTTCTGAAACTTACAAATAATGGGTCTGACCTAATGGGAAAGATGCAGGTGGCAAGAAATAAATGGGCTTCTTGCTACTCAAAGTAATTTAACACTGAATCTTTAGTCTTTCTCTCCTCCTTTGAAGAAAAGAGATTCTGTTGCTTTTGAAGCAAACGTATAAAGAATCAGATTTAGGTACCAAATTTGTAGTTATTAAAAGGAAATTGAAAATTAATCCACTTACACACTGGTCTTTTAAATACAAAAGTACTTAAAAAAACAACCCTCAGGGATTTCTGAGTATTTGGGCAAGTTTCTTGATATATGGGAAGAAGCAGAATTATTGTGACTTCAAGCCAGATGTCTAATGGTTTCCCTCTAGTTGTAAGAGCTTGTAGTTCATTCAGAGACACTTACAAACTGTTTTACCATTCTTACAATTCCTGAAGCTTGTTAATGAAACTGTTATTCCAGAAATTCCACTTTGGCTATAAATAACACCTTTAGAAGATAGATCATCTTTCTTTTAGGAACAGTGTAGCATTTACATTCATTTTCTGCACCCCTTTGGCCTTATTTTTGTTTTAGCGAAGATTCATTAGAACAACAGGGTAACTGTTAAGATCCAGATGCTGTTACCCGTAATAGTGACATGTTAGTACTCGCAAGAATGTCTATGAAGATTCTTTTCAAGTTTATCATCTGAATTCAGTGTTAGAATAATGTTAGATATTTTTGATTCTTACATAGCTATTGTCTTCTATTGCCAACTGAATAAAAAATAAAACTGTGGGCAAAGGAAATTAGGTACAGTATTTCACCTATGAAGGAGCAGTACTTTTGTATTATTGCAGGCTGCTTTGGATAGTTTCTATTTCATAGTGTACTAGCAGGAAACACCTGGAAAATAAATTGCAGAATTCTTTAGGCCCTGAAAGTGAAGCATAACTTGTTAAAGCTGTGATTTTCTATTTCCAAAATGAATGGCCTGTGGCTTTTTTTACACCAACACTCCAAAATGTTTTCCTAAAACCTGTGTGTTCTCTGTTGAGAAAGAGTCTTGTCTTAATATTCAGAAGTTGTAATAATGCATATAAGAACATTTTACTTTAAGATTTCCAAAGCATAACATGATTCTTTGAAATACAATAACTATATTTAGTATTTAAGTGTCACATGAGATATAGCCTGAAAGAAATAGATTAAAAGAAAGTGAAGACAGAAAGAGGACAGAAGAATTGTGCTGCTTGTCCAGCCTACTGTGAAGATGTATTCAGTGTGACTGCAGATTCCTACAGCAGGATTTGGTCATGTTAGATGCTCCGGTATCCTCTCCCATATTAGTTTGCCACTCTTCATTGACCACTTTTCTTAATACATATGTTTTTATCAGTCTGGGTTTAAGCTGAAACAAGTGTTTCTCTGCTTTCTTCTTAGCCATCTGAAGAAGATACTATCAGCTTTAATGTTCCAATGTCAGACATCGTGGAAGAAGATCAGGTTATAAAGGAAGACTCAGGTCACCATGCCAACTCAAGAAAAGGTTGGAATGTAAAAAAAAATGGAAGTCAAATGTGGAGAAATTCTGCTGATAAATCTATGTATAAGACTAAATTAAGTTTGTGAAAATCACAACCCAACAAACATAAATCATGTATAAAAGCAGAGTCTGTTTCTTTAGTTGGATTTATTGCATACATATTATTCGAAGTCACCATTTCCCTGGGAAGAGATAAGTCTCTTAAGATCTTGAGAAAAAGTATGATTTTATCAACATTTTATTGAAGTAACTTGTATTATTCTAAATTATATCCACATACAGATATATCTGCATGCAGATATATGTATGTAGATACATATCTGTAGATACATATCCGCATGCAGATATGTATGTAGATACAGACCTTTCATACAGACCTTTCTCCAAGGTCTGCACATACTAATGATAAATGGGAGGATGAACTCTGAATTGCTTATGGAAACTACATAGATAGATCAGCCTTTCCCCAGTGTTGCATACTAGATGAAATGAACTTCAATTGAGATACTCATTGCTGAGAATACTAAGTGTGTTAGGAAAGCATTACATGCCACCTACAGTGTTTATTAGCAGACTGGAGAAGGTATGTTATAGGATCAGACTGCCGCCTCATACCCTTGGAACTAGTATTTGTAAGCAAGAGATGACGTAGGCTCCGAATGCTCTGAATCTTTTGGTTTGATTCTGCTGAGAGTTTGAGTGTTTTCAATAGTATAGTGACTCTGAAGTTGCATTAAACTGCAAGTCACTGGCTGAGACATCTGAATGTCCTAAAGTACTCTGTAGCTGTCCAACTGTGTTCTTGTACTCCCTGCTCGTAGCAGGGAAGTTGGAATCTGATGATCTTTAAAGTCCCTTGTTGTAGTTCAAAACTGACTCCATCCATGCCTATTGTGGTGTTTCTGATCTACAACTGTACATGCCTAAGGTATTGATTTATTACAGCTTTGTAATTAATTGGCATCACTCCTTAGAATGCAAAGTTCTTGTTTGTGGTTTTAATATGTTTTGAATTTAACCTTTGCTTGGTTTTGAGCTCCATAATTTAATACACGTAAATGGTGTTGAGTAACAAATGCTGAGCTGAACCAGAAATCATTCTTCTGTCTTTTTAAATTGTTTTTATTAGTGGAATTCCATCAAGGATCTTCTCACTTGATTGTCAATGATAAGTCAAGAGAAACAGGAAACCAGTTTGATGAATCGGATACTCTTACTACTGAATTTATGAGTTACATTAAGGCAAGTTTGTGACAATTTGAAATAGGGGGAAATATCTTCACTACTTTTATAAGTAGAGACCAAGCAGGAATTACAAAATGCAGACATTTTAATGACTAAGAGACTGCTACTGATGTTTGTTGTCATAAAAAAATACAGAAGGCAAAAGTAAGCAGGTGGGTTTAAAATTATTATAATTAATCTAGGAGGTCAATTTATGCATAAATATTTTTCTAGTATATGAGACAGTCTCAGGATAGCTATGCTTAAGGCTTTAAGAAAG